TGAGAACTGTCTTTCGAGCAGTGTGATCGTCGACTGGGCCCGAGGAAAAGGCCAAATTTCCAGCGGTCTTCGTTGAAGAGATGCTTTCGTCACAACTTTAACTTCTACCCGGCGAGGTCCGGGTCACCCAGGTTCTTCTGTTTAGGCGATTGACCTGTCTCTGATCTAGCGCCCGAAAAAGAGGAGAATGCGGGTCTTTCCTCGGGAGAATATCGATTTGAATCTTTGATATGTTTTTTTTTTTTTTTTTTTTTTTGGCTGAGAGCAAAATGTCTTCTTCTTCTTCCATTGCAAGGTAAAGAAACAGTTTACTACAGTATTTACCAAGCCCGCTGTCGCCGCCAACGAGAGCTTTCGGCTCGCTTACAACGCACCTCCCGAACTCAGAAGGAAAGCTGGTCGTCGCTCAAGAAGAGGACCTCTCAATGAGATTAAATTAAATACACCAGCAAGCCTTAATACACGAGAAAGCCTATGAAATGAAATGCAAAGTTGGTTTTGAAAAAAAAAAAAAAAAAAAAAGAAAGCCTATGAAGATACGACTAGTAGCAAGAGAGAGGGCATACGTTTACTCTCCTAGATCCACGGGTGGTGGCGGCTCCTCTGGGACCGACCCTCGGGGAACCAGAGGACGATCTCTCTCTTCGCGCTCTCAACGCCATCGCTTCCATGAATAAGGCTTCTTCTGCCCATATTACGGCGTAGTCCCCACGAATGATACCCGGGGCAGATTCGTGCGGCTTGGCTGCACCGAATATCTTACGTCCAGAAGCAACGACATTGCGACCCTCCCACACCATAGCCACAACCGGACCAGAGCAGATGTACTTAACCAAGCCGGGGAAGAAAGGCTTGCCCACGTCCTCCGCGTAATGCGGCTCCGCAAAAGCCTTGTCCACGTCCATCAGCTTCATTTCTCTCCACGTCCATCAGCTTCATTTCTCTCAGATAAAAAAAACTTTCTTCTCGAACCGCGAGAGAATGTTGGCAATCAGCCCGCGCTGCACGCCGTCGGGCGTGATCATGATAAAAGATTGCTCCGCCATGGCGAACGGGAAGAGAGAGAGAGAGAGAGAG